TCTATTCATTGTGTGAGCTTGCTCAAAACTTTCAGCCCTGCACCAACTAGTTTACCAGGCAGAGGCAGTATTATCATGCAGGCATCGCCAGCAACATCAAAGAACTTTGAAACCCAATTTTTTTTAGTACTTTCAATTTCTTTCCGCAAGTGATCTACTTCTCTATGTAATCCTTCAGATTTCTCTTTAAATCCTTCTTTAAGCAGTTCTTCTTGGACCTGTAAGAGGAAACAGTCAACTACTGAAATCCCCAATTACTAGGAATTAGAGTTTTACATTTAACAGCTTCAGTAGCTAAACACATCTATTTCTCTACCACCTCAGACTGCTCTTTGATTAATTTGTCAAATAGCTCCATGTGTTTAGACCTGGTTCCGAGAGCATGCATAGTTAGTATCTTCCTAAAATTCCCTCAGCACTGTCTCACTCAAGATGGGGAGGAGTCAGAGGCAGATCCAGCCTGAGAGCTATCCTGTGCTTCAGCTGTAAGGATGCCCTCGGGAATAGAATGTAAGTTTGAGCCTAATTAATTCTCAGTTCCACTGAGGTGGCATGGCCATGCACATCTAACAAATAATGTCAACGGCTGTCTCTGTACAGAATATTCATTATGAAGCTTTAGGGTGGGACAAACATGGATTTTACTATAGTTGTATAGGGTGAATCAGGCATATCTGGAAACAGATGTAGCAAATTTTAGAGCTTTCAGCTCTGTATTTCATATCAGGCCCAGTCTGATAATTTAAAAACTGGATCGATATATTATAAGTGCCTTTGATGGTTGTACCAGAATCCTAAGGGCTAGTGAGTAAGAGTCTGACAAAACTAACCTACGATCACCTAATATAGCAGCCCAGCACACTGTGAAGTGCTATTGGTACAGTACAAACCCTCATGCTTCAGAAGGGGCTGCAGTCTTGTGGATTTCAGGGCATCAGTACCAGGTATATATGAGATTTAAGTGACTCATACATCATTTGGATTTCCTTCTAGAATGATGACTTTGTATAAAATTTTGGTGCTTTTCTTCCCGAGGAACCAGGGCACTGTCTGTCAGGCACTGCCCAGCCCCGTCCCGACTCACCTTCACCTTGTGCTCCAGCATCCTTTCCTGCTCTCTCAGAAGGTTTTCACTTTCCTGCTCCATCTTTTCCTTCAGTTGGGCAAGATTTTCCTGGTAGCTTCTCTGTAGAGCCTCCATCATTTGCTGCTGCTCCTTCTGTTTCTCTCTGAGCAGCTCCTGCTCCTTCTCAGCTGCCTCCCTCCTGGCCCGCTCGGCTGTTCCCAAAGGTTTTAGAGAGGGAGGAAAACAAGTCAGGCCTGAGTCCTGCCCTCCTGAGCTCAGA